ATTTTAGATTTAATATGTAAATAACAGTTGTGTCTGCATGGGGTCAAAATTTGCTGTGAAATTAGCGTGAAACTTCTTGCTCTCTCACTTACTTATAGATACAAGAGGAAAGAAAACAAAATAATCTTGAAATGGTTTGAAAGGTACTCATGAGAGCCACGCCTGATTTTATTCATCAAGGGCCATGAATTATTCCCTGAGAAACACATGTCAACCTGTGGCATATCATATTTTCCTTTATCCTCCAGGTCTGCTGCCCAGTCCAGCAAACATTCCCTCCATTCCTGGAATGGTGAGGAGATGGGCTCAACTAGTGAGCTCATTGGGCTGGGCGTCTCTGCCCGCACATTTACAGGAAAACAAGAAGGTGAGACCCACAAAAATTAACCATCTATACCTCTGCCAATGACAGTGACTCTGTTTTTGAGCAGTATTTTTATACATTAGTATTCGTATTTACAAATTCTAATAACTCTTTCAATTAATCTTTCTGATTTATGCTTCTGCAAGGACTGGCTATCCCTCCTCAAACCTCAGACCCAATCACCACCTCCGGGCCTCTGGATGACCAGGATGCTCTACTGACTGAACCGTGGCACTTAGCCATTGCTCTGCAGCCCCCCACCCAGAGCAACACTCCCCACAGACCTGACACAGACCCACACACGCACACTCAGCCCCCAAAAGCAGCTGGGCCGAGCCTCGGACTAACAGAGCAAGAAGCTGCTCCCGACACTACAGAGGTAGGCTCATTGTAAATAGTGATGATATTGAATAGTTTTGTAGTTAATTTGCTTGTTATTTTCTTGCAGTTTGAAAGGTCATGCAAACCTACCAGTGTTTTAGTAGTAATGAGATACAGTATTTTACTGCAGTGACAACAATGCAAGGCTGTGTTTGACACACACGTGACACATGCTGACTCATTCAAAATGGCCAAAACAAGGAAGTACTTAAATGACAGAGATTCAGTTCTTTTAAATATGTGCTGAACCATTAGAAACAAACAGATTTCTATGCTGTACTGTAAATGGGCTTGTTTATACTTTAATACAACTATTTCTAAAACGAATATTGTTTACATTCTTTAATGTGCCTATAAAGCAAACCCTGATCTGAACCAAAACATTAAACCAACATTACAGAACTCTAGCTGCTAGAGGTCTCTCAATCAAAACAATAACAAAAGACCAAGTTTGATATCATCATGAAGCAGCGTGGGACCATGGGAGTTGTCTTCACCGCCACTGTCTATGAGAATCTACCTGTCATCACTCAGGAGCGAGTCTTCAAGTTCAGGAATGAGTGAATGTATTCACATTTTTAGATTAAGAATTTGTTGCATATCATATCTTTAAGCAACAGAAACCTAATGGTAGTTAGCAAACAGCACACTAAATTAGAAATAGTTCACTTGTAGCATACGTTTATGGTGAGTATAGTCCGAATTCTGTGGGGTGGGGTTGTTGGAGAAGGGAGTTAGGGTCCAATGAAAGAGTAAAGTGGGAAAATGTGTATTTTTTAGGTGGTTCTTAAATCTCCAGCTAGAGGGAAGATGAGGGTGAAGGCAAAGGGATTAAGTGGAGCCAGGAGAGTTTCAATAGGGAGACTTAGCTTGTATGGTTCATCCAGGAAAGAAGGGATCCAGTCCAATCCAGGCAGGTTAGATGGGTTTTTAAAATCCACTACAGGCTCCAGGGATCAGCTTCTTTGCTTAATGGTCCAGGATGATGGTGGAAAACAAAACCAGCCGGTTCTTGGCTTAACTGTCCAGAAACTAGTTTATCTTTTTTTTTCCTCCTTACTTCACATGCTTCCACTCCATGCTGCCTTTGTTTGACTTTCCCTCTCCTTTCTGGCTCACAGGTGTGTCCAACTTATCATCTCGCTCACCCCTCCTTTTCCTGTTGAGGAATCAAGGGCCATTCTGTCTTTTTTAGTTTTCTTCTTTCTGCTACACACTGAAAACAGGCACATTATTTTTCAATTCTTGCCTGATGTACTATTGAAGTATGTGAAGGCGAGCTTGTGGGAAACATCTGGATTTTTAATAATGAAGTGATAAGTTTAGTCTTAACAAAGTTCAGTGATCGTTTAAGCCTGTTGGTAGAATCAAAAACCAACGTTAGTGATTCAAAGTAAATTTGTCATTTGAAGGAAAACTGTTCTTTTCTAGCACAAACACACTTGAAGGTAAGAATCACTTTTATGGCTGAAGCCAGGAAGAACCTCAGGCTCTGACATGCACCAGAGCGTGGTGTTGTGTGGCTGCTTGAACACAAACGACTTTACGACAGCCTGCCTCTGTAGCTCATTATTTTATTATACATAAACCGCGACAGAGAGCAAACTCAGGACTTACAGAAGATTCTTTCTCTTCTGTTAAAGCAACCTGCATGTTCCTGAACCTATCACCAAAAGTGTCATCTGGTCCCTGGTGATCTATTAATGGATAACTATATTTTAGAAAATAGACTTTATTGAGTCAGTTTATGTTCGTTGCAGTAACCTTTCTCTCTCTATTCCTCTAACTCGCTCACTATGCTTTTCATTCAGATCACTAAACCGAGAGCTGAGACCGTGGTCAACAATGGACTACAGTCTCCTTCTCTTTGCCAGTCACCTGGTGAGTCAAATGCATGTACCTTCACTGTGTTAATAATAACAAATGATCAAGTAGTTTAACTGTTTCATTTTAAAGCATTACAGATGACAGGATTAAAAAACCTGCTGGTGGTTGCTGACAGTGCAGTTAGCATGTTGTGCTTTTAATCTGCCAATGAAAATTCCCCAGAACTGTGAACTGACACTTAAGTAGGATTTATACTCCTTGTAAAACTGCAAGTTGGAGGGTTGGACAGTGTCAGGGGGAAAACTCTCCCCCGACACCTCACACCTAATGTTGAACTGGGGGTGGGTATGAGTCCGATCATTTCTTTAATGTTCTGAAACAGACAACATTCACATGCACTTCATGTAGGAACTTGCTGCCAGTGGGGAGGTGATAAGGGAGCCTAGCATAGTTCTTGTCTCACTAGCTTTTGTTTTTCATTTGTTATTCAACTATTTGCCGCACTTCTCATGTCAACGGTCATGTACAGTGCTTTGAGTCTGAAAACCTGCTTTTATCCATGTATTTAAACAATATTTCATCTCCCCCCCTCGTTCACCAGTGTCTGTCCTGAACAAGTACAGGCACTTGATTTCCAGCATGTTCGGGAAGTACGACTTAAGAATGAGTTCTGAGAGATCATAAACCAACCCTTATTTGTTGATGTCACGTTTTGCTCTATTTCCAGCTTTGAGTGAGAAGTCTTTGTCGAGTCAACAAAGAACCAGGACAGAAGTGGAGGGGGAGACACTCGAGGTAAGAGCGTAAGAAGCTTTCACAGCCACATTGTGGACACTGCTGGATGTTCTGTGTACACATCACACAATTCAGACGAAGGGCATTCACTTCCTTTCCCTCTTTAAATGTTATATTTCTTGTTACTTCGTGTTTGGCAAATTACTTAATTAGTCAAATTTTTTTAATCTCAGACAACTAATGGAGGCCCCAGGAGGGTTTTATTCCGCACCCAGCCAGATGTGCTCTTCCTCACCCTGCAGGATGAGATGGCACCAACCACCCCTTCACCACCAGACACTGAAGATGAGGATCTGAGGTATACACGAAGATTACAAGGCAGAAGAATAAATCACAGTGAAGGGACGAACATCAGGTAAAAGATGTTGTTTGGAATAAGGAATGGAATATCAGAGAAATTATTATTTGATGGGTTTGAGGACAATGTTGCATTGGTCGCTTTCTGAGTGTCTAACCATCTCTGCTATGTGCTGCCTATATCATCTGCCCGAGCAGTAACCAGTCTGAGGAGGGTTTCGAGGAACCTCTTTCTAATCGCAGACAGAGGAATAGGAAAGCAGAAGAGGAACTGCATCACATATCTGAAAAACTGTCTCATCGACTCGAAGAACTCGATGAGGTGTGTTTTTGTAACTGATTGCATCATGTCATGGACTTAAGAACCATCAGAAGATCCACTGTACTCATTTAATGTTGCAACTGCATGTTGTGGTTTAATTCTTCTTCTTGTAGATGCTCAAACGTGTTCTGGAAGAAAGTGGAGAGTCCAGTGAGGTCAGAGAGGAGGACAAGCAGTCTCATCACAGCGACAGCATCATGGAGTGTCGGAAGACTCCCAGACAACACATGGGTATAAATAATGGCCTAATGCCGTGTTGTTTTAATTTAAGCATGCCACAAGTTTTAATATTGTTTTTTGGGAATGAGCTTGCAGGTATTTGTATTGTGTGGTCCTTTGTAAAGACCTGTTTCAAAATGTTTCATTATAATAATTTAATAATTTCAAATGTCATGCAATTCAATTGTCACACTTATTAGTTTCAGGTACACCTGATGTTGAATCCACGCAAAGCACACGCTCCTTGTCACCCTCTCCACCTCGGGCCCGTCGCTCCCTGCAGGGACAGTTAGAAAATGCGATGGTAGAGGCCTTGAGCCTGGATGACGGGAGACAGACAAACCTCTCAGCTCCGGATCATTCAAGACAAAGAGAGCACAGAAAACATAGCAAGGTTAAAACATTACCATCCTTGATTCTTTCATTGTTTTCTTTTAAATGATCCTTTTATATAATCTACAGATTTAAATGTCAAAGTTCCCAAGTACCTCAACTGAATACGTTTGTTTTATGTAATTTGTACAGAGTTAACCGCATATTACCTTCATACTTACATCAATATGTTTTGTATATTCCTGCTCATTTTCAACAGTAATGCTTGTTCTTACACCATCATCTAATGCTAACAAATAAGATCATGTTAAATAATGTTCTGCTCTATCCTCATATGCTTGGAACATTACAGTAAACGAGTCTCTTTCTTTTAGTATCTGGAGAAAAAGGGCTATGAGGAAGAGTTAAAAAGATATGAAGACAAAGAACAGGCAGATCTGGACAAGGCACGCCTCAAAGCTCAGGAAGCTGTAAGTCATTTGTATGAAATCTGATAGTATGAGTGCGATAGGGAATTCTTATCCCCTCCCACTGTTTAGGTCACTGAAGCACAGCTTTGGAATATTAGCTGCCCATGTGCTTGTACAGTGAGTGGCTCTAACAAGATAAATGTGAACAAGCAGATTATCCAAAAATGTATTTACAGAAAACTTCAGTTCAACACAAAAGAAAAATATGCATTACAACAAAACCAATGTATACATTTAGAAAAACATTTCCTCAATACTCAACTTGAACTTAAAATTAGAAATTGTACTTCATTGTTTGGTGTGTGACTGAAAACTGAAGGTGAACCTGTAAACACCATTTAAACCCACATTTAAACTGCTGCTTTGACATTAGAAAGTAACAATCCAAAGATATTAACTCGACCAACAAAGACTTCAGCTTGGAAGAAAATATTTAAATGTGTTGCTGACAATAAATTCCCACACACCTCCAGAGGGCTGTTTGATTTAATCAGATGGGGAATACATTATGTCAATGAGTGTTTGGGTGTTTGTAGGAGCGCGAGTACAGAGAGGCCTTACTCAGAGATGTTTCCCAAGCCCCCAGACTGTCTCCAGCTAGAGTGAAGACCCAGCACAAGTCACATCGAAACACACAAACAGGACGGACAAGGCAGGAAGCCCCCAGGAAAACTCCTTCAAGTAAGTTAAGACTTGTTTATTTACCATGAGACCCTTTAGCACAGGTCTGTTTTCCTATATGTTATAATTGTCATGTATTCATTCATGGACTCTCTGACATGTAGGTCTGTATATAGCACTGCAGAATTATGGCTCATTAAAACCACTATGACACAATACTTTTGCTATATTCAAATCTCCACAGCACAACTCACCATATCTTCTTAGCAGCCTTGCTATCTACTCCTCTTTGTGTTGTGTATCAGCAAATTTAATGTTTTCACTTTGGGCTTAAGGTAAAAGTCTCCAGCAATTTTTAATCATCAAAGATCTCTGACTGCATAATGTTGATCTACCTCAAGGCACATCTGAAACTATGTTGTGATTCATGTGATTCATATCTTTTTCAATTCCTCAGTTCTCCAATATAAAATAAAAACACATGATATATACTAGCTTACTACATTAACAGCCAGACAAACTTTCTTCATCTTAATCAGGAACTTTAGAAAAATAAAAAAATAGTGTAGTTCCGTGAAGAGCATATAGAAGAAAACTGCCACTGTCTATGTTGTAGGAGATATCAATCAATAACTATAAGCTCACAGTAAATACACAATGGGAGATTTATGGAGTTTTTTTCCTATCTTTGTTCAAGAGCGTGGTCTTTCAGTTTAAGAGCAAATCTGTGCGAGCAACAATATATCTGAGTGCAAGCACACAGTTTGAGCAGAAGCAGAGCAAATTTAAATGCAAATGGAATATTTGAGTGCAAGGGCATGGTTTTGATGAAGTAAGTAAGTAATACACAATGTGAACATAAATTCAACAAGTCATGCTCTCAAACTGAAAGACCACACTCTTGAATAAAAATAGGAAAAAAGCTCCATAGAGATTCAAATCATTTGACATCTTTGTGGTATGGACTTAAAAATGCTTCTTGTGTGGATGTCCCGCTGTAGATCTTGATTTAAAAACATGAAAACCTTTTGCTCAAACCATTAGCTGCCTATGAATCAATTGTTTGTTTCCTGTATACAGCTTCTGCTCTGTGCTTATTATTTGCCTGACGTTAATTAAGCTGGTGAAATGCTGATAATGAAACTCTTGTGCACATTAAACTATCATTTCTAAGAAAATGTGCAACAAGCATCACATGTACCTGTAAAGCACAGATGACAGTGGAGATCAGACTCACCAGGCCGTCTGAACTGTGTTGGAGAAACCTCAGAGCACAGAATATCGTCTTTACCCATCTCGGGGAGAGTGCGATGACTTTCATCATTCTATTATAGTTCTTCACAGAGCTGGACTTCTCAGAAAAGTCTTCATGCTGTAACAAGCAAGAAAAGAACAGTAATCCGATATGAGTGTGTAGTTATTATAATGTTAATATTCTGTGTTCTGTCTCTCTCCAGTGAAAGTCAAGGAGAATGAACTCCTCCCTGTGCTCGTGGAGGAGTTGCCCCACCTTCACGTTTCTCCTCACGCTCTGGGCAGGATGTGGGAGCAGCAGATGCAGCAGGTGGACAGACTCCACGCCATGTCGTCCTCCCATAGCCACCAGCGTCAAAGCAAACTCTCCAGCCAGGTGGGAAGGCTGACGTGACCGGTCGCAACAACACTGACCGTAGCCCATCTCTCCCCTGTAATATGAGCTGAATATGTATGTAAATGGACCCCTCTCTTCCAGGTGGAGGAAGCACAGAGGAAACACGACCTGCTGGTGGAGATTGTCCGCAAAAAACAGGACCACAAAAGGCGTCTGGTGAGAGTCAACGCATCAATGCACATTCACCTTTATACTCTTATATGTTGTTCAAAGAGCAAAACACTTTTGTATGGTTCAGTATTCAAGCCGCTCAGTTCAGTTACAGGAGGAAATGTTTGTCTTCCAGACGGATTTCAAAGAACGTATCCAGCAGCAGAAGTCGACACAAAACAGACTGAGAGAACAGAGACAGCAGATCGCCCGCGCCAAGAAGTACCACAGCGACTACCACGTCCAACACCGCGCTCGTCTGATGAGGGCACGCACCAAGGAGGAGAGGGTGGGGAGCGAGGGATATTCTTATCTTTGTTACACAACTGACTGTTACGTTTTATCAGAGAAGAATCTTTTCATTCAATTTCAGTCAATTCCAGAGCTCAATGTCAAATGCATTTCCTAAAGAACTAGGAACCTTTGCATGAACTCGTGTTACCCCCAAAACGTTCTTGCTAGGGAAGCAGTACTTTACTGAAGTACAGGAACCTTTTGGGTGGGGCTTGCAGCGCTAAAGATACCTAAATAAATCCCCTCTAGAGCAACAATGGTCTGCAGGAACCTTTTATTCCCATGAAAAAAGTACCCTGTACTTTTTAGAAGAAAAGTGATGCTTATGTTAAAAATTGAATTACAGACAATGTGTGGGTTGGATGTCATGATGACACGTGTGGTTGTGTGTGTGTGTTTAGATGTTTCGGAAGCTGTTCGACGAGGGTTTAGAGGTACAGAAAGTCCGGTTGAGGGAACAGAGAGCCTATGCCAGGGAGCAGCGGCTAGAACACCAGAGACAACACCAGGACCACATCAAGTCTATGGAGAACTACTACAAGGACCAAGTAGGACACACACACACACACACACACACAC